TTGCAAGTTACTTCTTACTCCTTGTTTGGGCTGGAAAAAACCGAGCTCTTGGCCTTGTTTACACACTGCCCTGAGCCCAGGTGATAGGCTTGAAGAATTTCATTCAACCTTTGTGCACTCCTTGAGTCTGCCTTCATAAAGACTAGACAATCATCCGCAAATAAGAAATGCGAGATCCAAGGGGCTCTCAACCCCGGCCGTATACCTCTATCGACCCATCCAGCATCATAGTTCTTCAACAAGCAAGAGAGCCCTTCCCCGCAAAGTAGAAACAAGTAGGGGGAGACAGGGTCACCTTGCCATATGCCTTTGGAGGGGCGAAAAGAAGGCAACAGTTCTCCATTCATCTTCACCTGAAAGGTAACGGAGTTAACATATCTCATAACTAGAGATACCCATTCCTCAAAGAAACCTAGCTGCAACATGATTCCTTGGAGATACGCCCACTCCACACGATCGTACGCCTTCATCCTATCCAACTTGACCACACACCACCCTTGTTTAGTTCTCTTCCTTTTCATAGCATGGATACACTCATAAGCCGTGATGGCGTTGTCTGTAATCAACCGCCCGGGAACAAAGACGCTTTGCTCCTCCGCGATGATCTCATCTAGAACCTCCCTCAAAGTTTGTCAAGAAAAATGATCACGTATTTCCGTGGCAATCATCTGGTACACACCGGTGCTCCTATCCGTGTCGGCTTGGACTGCGTACGTACGTATCCGTCTTGGATTGGACTCGGGTCACCTCTCCACGACCCCGGCCGGTAAATAAATATGGCAACAGACCTTACGAATCAGCCACCAAAGAAAAGCCAGACGTACGAGAGCGCAGCTAATTCCCAACTCCGCGAGCTCCGAGTGCATCATTTTGACGTCGATCCAATCGGGATTGCTCGGCGGCCGGCGGGCGGCGCCATGATGAACCCGGAGATGATGCGGCTGGCGGAGGAGCAGATGCGGCGCATGTCCCCGGACGACCTGGCCAGGATGCAGCGGCAGCTCGCGTCCAACCCCGACCTGGTGAAGCTAGCATCCGAGAGCATGATAAACATGACGCCTCACGACTTCAAAATAGCATTCCAGCAGCTGAACCAAACCAGCCCAGAGGAGATGCTTTCCATGGCCGAAAAGCTCGCCACCGCTAAGCCCGAGGAGTTCGCCGCCATGAAGGCTCAAGCTGACGCTCAGATCTCACACGCCATATCCGGTGCCAAAGCCCTGAAGCAGCAGGGGAACGAGCTTCACAGCCGTGGGCGGTACGCCGAGGCTGCTGCCAAGTACGACCTCGCCAAGGATAGCTTGAAGAACGTGCCGTCGGCAGCCGCGCTCACATTGAGAGTGCAGTGCAGCCTTAATCTGATGTCATGTTACCTGAAATCGGGCAAGTTTCAGGAGTGCCTAAACGAAGGGTCAGAGGTTCTTCTAGGTTGTGATGATTCGAGCAATGTCGTCGTCAAGGCGTGCTACCGGAGGGGTCAGGCGTACAGAGGACTGGGGAACCTTCAGGCTGCCGTCGCTGACTTGAGTAAAGCCCATGAAATCTCTCCCGAGGATGAAACCATTGCTGAGGTACTGAGAGAAACACAGGGATAACTTGCAGCTGAAGGAAATATGCCAAAAGGATTTGTTATTGAAGAGGTTGTAGAAGAACTTCCAAAAGGAGTTGTTATTCAAGAGATTGTAGAAGAACTTCCAACCTTCCAGCCTCCGTCTTTGCAAAATGTTGCGGAGAACCATGATGAAATTGTAGTAAACAACCAGTCGCCATCCAGTTCTATAGCTGATATGCAAGAAGCCGTGAGAAAATCCATGGAAGACCCGGCTATGCGGCAGATGTTTGTGTCCATGATGGAGAACATGAGTCCTGATGTGATGGCAGACCTGAGTCAGAAGTTCGGCATGAAGGTCTCCAAGGAGGATGCGGCCAAAGCGCAACAAGCTATGTCTTCATTATCTCCAGAAGGTCTAGAAAGAATGATGCGATGGATGGGCAGAGCACAGCGAGGAGTAGAAGTAGCAACCAAGACAAAGAACTGGCTCCTAGCCAGGAAGGGCTTGATCATTGCCATTGTCATGCTGATCTTGGCCTTGATCCTCCTGCATCTTGGATTCAGTGTCAAATCCATGTTATGGGTGTGTGGTCAATTAACTACATGGCTTTTCGCCAGAACCAATAAATACAAGTGAAATTTCATGTATAAATTTATGAAATAGTATAAGATTTAGATATATAAGTTATACTTGACATCATAGGTTTATAGTTCGGGCACCCCCACCACTTTCATTCATCTATATGTTTTTGTCCTAGACACCCCTCTGATGCCGACCACACCGTGTATCCTAGAAATTGGGAATGAATACTTAGCCTTGTTTGTTCTTTTGTCATATGTATTTATATATTGTACATATTAGAAGTAATTGGCCAAGGTTTTTTTTACCTTGAGGTATATATAGGCTGATCGCTGAATTGTGATGTTATGAACGTCTTATGTTATCTTATTAGTTGATACCATATGCCATAAAATCTTATGTTCTATTATTAATGGATAAAATCATAAAAAAATACATTTTCTAAAATTGAGAACATGAGCAGCCCAAATTACATAACAGGGCAAAATCAGAAACTTAATTAATCGCTTGCTAAAATTGTAATGTAAACATAAAATGCTTTGCCCCCCGCGTTGATCTTGCACTCGGGTGGCATGCAAAAACATTAAACGGTGACTGATTTGTGTCCTAACCGAACTACAACAGCGTGGTTAATTCCAACAGATGAGTCCTAATTTTCCCTCTTAAAACACATGAAAATATCTGTGATTGACAACAGTTGATGATTGATAGCTGCAAATTTTAACAGCTGATGATTGACAATGGTGAAGGTATTATAGCAGAATGATGATAATGGTGAAGGTATTTTGTGGAGAAGTTCTCAAGTTCATATGCCATACAACAAGGCCGCCTAACCCAGGTGAATATTATGCTGCCGCTTGCAGAAGGCAACTGTGCACTAGAATTTACCTGATATAAGAACAATGTACTAAATTTTGGAAGCAGTCAGTGAGCTCTTTTTCTCCCGACTAAAATTTAATGTTTGTTTGAAGCTGAGAGTTCATTTACATATAGAACGTAAGGGATGTTGATCTCTTGGATATTAGTTGCATAGTTTGTCCCACCTTGCCTCTGTGGCTCTGTGCCATCTTGCACAAACAGATGCTGTCAAATGAATTAGAGCAGTTCTAAACTAGCTATTCATCTGTGGCCCTGTCAAAAATCAACTGAACAAATGAATATATTGTGAATGGTTTATACTTTAAATCTTAATAGGTTGGCACCAAGGATCAGACCATAGTGATGAGAATAACTGGCCGCCCTATTAGATGCGGCAGAAATGAGAATAGCATGGGTTACTTTGATTGGCGATGGCCCAACCTTTTTATGCATGTTCACTTTGGATCTAGTAGGGGCGTAGTGGAGAGAATAACTGGTCGCTCTATTAGATGCGATAGAAATGAGAATAACTGGCATATCGTCTGTCAGCCCTACCCCCTTGGCGGCCTCGAGGTACTCAACCACTTCAAGTTTGCTCATACACTGCATTTGCGATTGCCATGGTTTTCGTTTGAATGGAAGGAACCCAACAAATGTGGGTGCGTATGGGAAACCCTTGCGATGATGCGGAGCTCAACCTGTTCTACACCTCCTACACTATCACCATTGGCAATTGTGAGCGGGCACCTTTTTAGGTCTCCCTTGGCTCAATCAGGTGCAACATAAGGAGATTGCACCTTTGATTTACAAGGCGTCCACTATGAAGATGTGGAAGGTGGCCGAGGCCAAGAAAAAGGGAGCTTGGCTCTCCAAAATTAAGCTCCTGAGAATTGGACGACTAAGCACATCCGCCGAATTGTCTCCCTTTGGACCAACTTGCGGGAGGTCCATCTCACGATGGGGATAAAGGACATCACATGGAAGCATACGGTAAGTGGGCACTACTTGGCGGCCTCCGCTTATAAAGCAGAATTTCATGGCCTCATTACTTTGTGCATGGAGTTGGCAGTGTGGAAAGCTTTGGGGCCCTGCGAAAGTCAAAATTTTCGCATGGTTGGCCATCCAAAGTCGAGTTTGGGCCGTCAATAGATTTGAAAAGGGGGTGGCCAAAATGTGGCATATGTCCACTTTGCAAGAGAGACCCGAATTCGTTGATCATCTGTTCTTCAAGTGTCGCTTCACCATTAGGATTTGAGGCATGGTTAAAGAGTGGCTCCATCTCCACTCCGTTGACTGTTCATCATGGATCACCATCCCTTCCATCAAAGCTTGGTGGATCGGTATCTCTGAGCCTCATCGCCCTAATCGGAATGGCATGGCCTCCCTCACGATGCTACCCTCTTGGGTCATCTGGAACGAGCGCAACTCATGGGTGTTTCGGCACAAGTCCATGCCACCACCAATTCCGCTCGCCATCATCGAGGAGAATGCCGCTCTTTGGAGTAATGTGGGTGCCAAGCATTCGGGTAAACTAATGTCTGGAGACTGAGACTTTGTATATCTGTGTTGTTTGTAACATCTTTAAACTTCTTCTCAATTAATGGATGAGGCATATCTTTTGCCTCCGTTTCAAAAAAAAAAGGTAAAAACAAGTTGAAATATTCTGCACAACATTTATACATCCATTTTGTTTGTTTACCTCATTAGGTTTGGCTGGTGTGCGCCTTATGCATTGGTTTGCAGTGTGGCATTTACTATATGTTAGGCAGCATTGTGTGACCATGGAGAGCAACAAAATGGTTTACCGTTGGGTATTGTTTCCAACATAGATATTTGTAATTGGTGGCTTTCAGATGGGGTCTTGATGTCGAAACATCTAGGGGCAGGGCCTCCCTTTTATTTTCTCCGCACTCTGCATTCTGACGCTACGTTTTGGTTGTGGACCTTTGTTCCGTTATCTTTAATGGTAGTGGAACTTGATCCAAGTTGGATCGAATGGAAACAAAATGTAATTGGTGGCACTTTAGTGTAGAAATGTTTGATCATATGGATTTTGATTGTATAGTTTATCTTGGCTTATAATCACAGTAATGCACACAGTAATGCACACTATGCTATTAACAAAATGGATCCTACCCAAAGAAAACATGCTACAGAAAACTTATTGAATGTATAGGGAGGTATTTGTCTAGTCGAATAAAATAACAGCTCAAAATATAGAGTCGAGAAAGATTACCAAATTTGTACAGTAGAAGCGAGGGACCAGAACTCCGCCTATGTCTTCTAGGCATAGCCGGTCCTAAGCCCGGGTAAAGGAGGAGGGTTGTGATAGGCTTGGCGAGCCAACGTAAAAACTAGCCAGTCCCATAGGTATGAAACCCATTTGAGCGAGAGTAGTATTAGGATGGGTGACCTCCTGAGAAGTCCTCGTAAAAGGGTTTCATATCTAAGAGTTGTGATAGGCTTGGCGAGCCAACAAAAAAACTAGCCAGTCTTTTGGGTATGAAACCCATTTGGGCGAGAGTAGTACTAGGATGGGTGACCTCCTGGGAAGTCCTCGTGAAAGGGTTTCATATCTAGCCTACCCCAACTTGTTTGGGATAAAAGGCTTCAAGATCAAGATCAAGAAGCGAGGGACCAGTTTATCCTTTTAGACACCTAACTAACCAAGCCTGATCACTTGCATGTTTTCTTTTTATGCATTTGATCGACAAGGCTGCTATTTTGACAGAAAGGATAGGAGAGACCATGCATGGCTATTTCTCACCACCTCTCTCAGATTGAGTGTTTTCTTCTATCTGTGGAAGGTTTAAAATAGCAAAGTCAGCAGTAGTAGTAATACAAGAAATTTAACCACTCCTGCATTCTTGATTGTGGGCAAAATTGAAGAAGATATGAACAACTATCACTCATGCCGAATTCATTTAAATAATAATTAGTAGTATCTCAGCCTAGACGGCAAACCTCTTGCTCATATCTACATCAGATTAGTTAATTAGATGGGTGACATGGATTACTGAGAACTCATGTTTGGAATTTAGATATGATGTTATATCGGATAGAAGAACTCATGTTTGGGTTGGGTTTAATTTTTCTTAATGCCTAGCTTAACTCTAAACGGGTCGTCAAACTACAAATTGCAAGTCGCAGCCCAGGTCCCACTATTACCGGGAATCCATTTCAAAACATTTGCCAGTTGAGAAAAAATAACAAATTGTTTACTACTGTATTTCTGCACTTAAATGCTTTCAAACTGGTAAGGTGATCGTGGTTTTTGAAAATAGGAATGTGGCTAAAGATAGTTATAGGAAACGAAGTGACTAGTGATCAGTAATGCTATGTAGTATAGTGATGCATCATGTTAAGTCTACACCAATGGCTGTGGGTGCAATAAGAGAAGATAGTACATACTACCTATAAAAGCTGGGCTTCTAGTAACAAACTAGAAACTACTACATTTCAGTAAAATCTTTGCACGATTTACAAGTCATGCCCAGATTAGGCATAGTTTTTTACCCATTTAATTGTGCCGGTCCATGGCAAAGAGCCCCATAGAGTGAGAAGTTTGGAACCTTTGGCCAACAAAAAAAATCAAACAGAATTCAATGTGCACTCAATACAATGTTCAGAATGTTGGGCAGTTGACAACAAAACTATGTACTAAGCTAAATCATGGTCAACAAAAGTCTGAAGATTCTTCCAAAATAGGTTTAGTTTGACAACAGCCTAAAAATTCAACAATATAGTCAGAATTCTAGTACCCCTCCGATTCATATTACTTGTCTTAGATTTATCTACATACGCTAGACACGGTTTAGCATAAGATACATCCGTATCTAGACAAATCTAACACAAGGAATATGGATCGAAGGGAGTAGGAAAATATTGGTCATCGTTTGATAGACAACTCAATCAAAACACAAGATTAGGCACACACACACCAGTGCATAAGTAGTAGGCAATGAACGGCAAACTTAAGAGCGTTTAAGTAGTCTTGCCAACAAACCGAATTATTTTGTTCTCTCTCCTGAACAAAGTGAAGAAATAAGTATGTTCATTAGATATGATGTTATGGCCGGCCGGCTTAGGCTCGCAAGTTATTTTAGTTTTTATTTTCAGATTAGGCAAGTTATCTTAGGCAAGTTATCTTAGGTTGATTCTTCTACAAGTTATCTAGGATATAAATATAGGTTGTAAGACTCTTTTTGAAGGCAAGCAATAAGAAGAATATTATCTCCTATTGCCCGGCTCCCTGAGGAGCCGGAACCCTAGCCGCCAACAGCCCTAGCCGCCGCCCTTCTCCTAGCCGCGACGGCGCCCTGCCGCCGGCGCGCCCGATCCTCGCCACGTCTCCCTCCATCCTTCCCTTACCACCTACGCCCTAGACCTGGTAGAGTACTTGATCATATCAATTTGGTATCAGGTAACCGGGTTTCGACCATGTCTCCGCCAATTCCACCGCCACCACCACCGCTGCCCGCCAACTCCTCCACCACCGCCGCCTCTGCGCCGGGCGTCACGGCCTCGCTCTCGGCGGGCACCACTGCGTCGCTCTCAGCGCCGGTCCTAACGGCACCCGGCACCACGCCGGGCCAAGGCCAGCCACAGGCCCCCGTCCAACACTCGCCGCCGCCATCACCTCCCCCGCAGCCGCAACAGTTCACGCCGGAGGCCATGGCGGGCGTCCTCAACGACCTCGTCACCGCGGTTCAAGGGATCCGCCTCTACCTGGCAGGTCCGTACGGGCCGCCCCCACCACTCCATCCAGCCATGGCCGCGGGTCAGCAGGCGCTTCCGTGGTACTCGGCACCGGGGGCCATCACCGGACTCCATCCAGCCATGGCCGCGGGTCAGCAGGCGCTTCCGTGGTACTCGGCACCGGGGGCTGTCACCGGAGGCTACCCGGCGCTCCCCGCCCCAGCGGCCGCACCGCCGCCTTGGGCGCAGTGGCCGCCGAAGATCGCGCCGGCAGCCCCGCCACTTCTCGCCACCACGGGGCCGCAGTGGCCCACCTGGACTGCGCCGGCCGCGCCGTCCTCCGTCGTGCCCTACCTTCCAGCGGCCTCGGAGCAGGGTCCTCCACCGGCCCCGCCCAGCCCTAACCTGGGCACCGGCGCCTCGGAGCAGGGCCAGACCCAGCAGCTTCTTCCGGCGTCACCGCCGGCCCCCACGCCGCAGGCGCCGGTGCAGCTCCACCAGGCGCCGCCACCATCGACAGTACCACCACCCGCGCCTAGGGCTACGGGTCCGCCCCTGCACCAGGTGCAGTTTCCACCGTCACCATCGCCGATCCCCGCTTGGGCGACCGGCTCGTCTTCGGGGCCGGTCTACTCCACGGCGCCGGAACACTCGACGCCCTCCCTGCGGTTTGATCACCCCTCCAGCTCGGCGAACTATGCCCCGGCGCTTCCCGACCCAGCATACGCGCGGGCGGCAACTACGGCCGCCCCCGGGCACGGCGGGCCGACACCCCCTCGCTTCGCCAAACTGGACTTCGCCACCTACGAGGGCACGGAGGACCCCCTCAACTGGCTCAACCAGTGCGAGCAGTTCTTTCGAGGGCAGCGGACGCTCGCTTCGGATCGCACCTGGCTCGCGTCCTATCATCTTCGAGGCGCAGCGCAGACCTGGTACTACGCCCTCGAGCAGGACGAGGGCGGCATGCCACCATGGGAGCGCTTCCGGGAGCTCTGTCTCCTCTGGTTCGGGCCTCCTATCCGCGGGAGCCGACTGGCGGCCCTCGGCCGCTTACCTTTCACATCCACGGTGCAGGACTACGCCGACCGCTTCCAGGCCCTGGCGTGCCACGCGCCGGGCGTCTCCGCCACTCAGCGCGCCGAGTTATTTGTGGGCGGTCTACCGGACCATATCCGCATGGACGTGGAGCTTCGGGGACCCCAGGATCTCCAGTCGGCCATGTATTACGCCCGCGCGTTCGAGTGCCGCGCGGTGGCCATCCAGCAGGAATCACGTCCCAGACTACTGGGTCACTACCCGGACCGGATTCCGCGCAGGGTCGGCCTGTGCAGGCTTCTGCGACACCCCACGCCGCGACCGCGGGGCGCCCGTTCCGCCGGCTCACCCCAGCTGAGATACTCGAGCGTCGCCGCCAAGGGTTGTGCTTCAACTGCAACGAACCCTACAAGTCCGGCCACGCCTGCCCGCGACTCTTCTACCTGGAGGTGGCAGACTACATTCCGGAGGACGTCGTCGCCGCTGACCTGGCCGCCCCAGATGTCGAGAAGGTGTTTGACGCTGGTTGATTACCTCGAAGAGTTCAAGCAAGCGCTTCCCCACCTTGCAGCTCGAGGACGAGCTGTTTGTGCAGGCGGGGAGAAGTGTTATGGCCGGCCGGCTTAGGCTCGCAAGTTATCTTAGTTTTTATTTTCAGATTAGGCAAGTTATCTTAGGCAAGTTATCTTAGGTTGATTCTTCTACAAGTTATCTAGGATATAAATATAGGTTGTAAGACTCTTTTTGAAGGCAAGCAATAAGAAGAATATTATCTCCTATTGCCCGGCTCCCTGAGGAGCCGGAACCCTAGCCGCCAACAGCCCTAGCCGCCGCCCTTCTCCTAGCCGCGACGGCGCCCTGCCGCCGGCGCACCCGATCCTCGCCACGTCTCCCTCCATCCTTCCCTTACCACCTACGCCCTAGACCTGGTAGAGTACTTGATCCTATCATATGATAACCTCCATATTGTTCAATCTATATAAAAGAACTCCATAATGTTTGACAACGGCCTAGAAATTCAACAATATAGTCAGAATTCTAGTAGGAAAATATTGGTCATGGTCTGATGGACAACTCAATGAAAACACAAGAATAGGAACACACCAGTGCATAAGTAGTAGGCAACGGACGGCAAACTTAAGAGTGCTTAATTAGTCTTCGCAACAAACAGAATTATTTTGTTCTCTCCTGAACAAAATAAAGAAATAATGATGTTCATTAGATATGATAAGCTGCATATTGTGCAATCTATACAAAAGAGCTTCATATTGTCTGACATCATCGATGGCAATGAAACTAACATCTCTTTAGACTCTGTATATGCAGCAACATATATATAGAAGAGAACAGCAGGCAACATCCTATTACTGTAAAAGATGCCACCATTTTAAATTAACAAATGCTCAAAAAAAACTGTGTCATCAATATTCAGCTTAGATAGAAATAAAGAACAGAAAATTTAAAGGATACTAAACATGGTAATATAAGCTTACATTCAGCCCACACGAACAGATAACAAGTGCCACAGCAGTTAGTACTACATTAAAGCAAATATATAGGGGACTATGTCATTCATACAACTAAGTATTACACACTGGACCGCCTATCGCTTACAAAATATCTACGCACCTGAAAAGCACAATTTGGAACGACAGGACGACATATCCAAACCTGTGCCACAGAACTAGAAGATTAGGCGCACACACACCCAACTGATTTTTACAAAGGCGTTAGCGCCACCGCGTTAAGTGCATAAAGCAGCAGCGACTTTCAGCGATCATCAGACAACCAAATCCGCAAAAGAGGGAATATAAGGTAGGCCACCCAGGAAATCTCCAGAAGTGCACATAAGATGCACTTCCTTGCTATCCATATCATACGAGAGATTCACCTCCTTCCAGTCAGTAAGGAAAATCACATTATGCTCTGGATGAATTGCAAACATCTCGTACTTATAGGTCCTGTCCTCTTTGTCACAATCCTCTTCGGTGGATTCCCTTCCAAACAGTTCTGGAACATCAACGGTATGTTTTAGGGTCCACTTTTCACTAGCATAATCCTCAAGTACCCACACAAAGAGTTCATAATAATGAGGAAGCATATACCAGGCATGCAATTTCCCCTGAGAGTACCCAATTGAACTATAACCAGAACTGGCTTCTTCCATTCCTTCCGGCAAAGCAATTTCCCCACAAACATCCCCATCTACGTCCACTACGGCTATTATAGGTTCCTCGGTCACCAAATGCAGAAAATGCATCATACCATTCAGGAAGGCACATTCTGCAGAAAAAGAAGGATACTCGCTGTTGTCCCCCCACTCACTGTTCCGAGTCCATCGCCCGGTTTCCGACGAGTATATCGCCACATCGTCGCACACCTCAACCAGGGGCGAAAACACCACAAAGCGGGACGGAACGGCCGGGTCGAGACCCAGGAAGGGCTGCACCACTCTGAAATACGCAGGTTCACCATCCTCTTCGTCCTGCCATACTATAGGAGGCAGCACGGTCCACTGCCGGGTCATAGGATTGCACACGACGTAATCGCATTCCTCGTCATCCTCCGATTCCCGGCATCTGCAGAGGAGAAGGCTGCTGCTGCATTGCTCGAGCTTGACGCTCGCGTACCTCCTGCGGAGGAAAGGGAGCGAAGCGTCGACCAGAGGGGCGCCTCCTCCGGAGAGATTGCTGAAACGGAGGCCGCCGTCCGAGTGGTGGGTGTGGAAGAATCCGGAGAGGGTCTGCGGCACCCTCCTTTGGATGGCCCGGTGGGAGCAGAGGACTCGCCACGCCTTGGACACGCACCGGAAGCGGCAGAGCGACCGGTAGGGCACCCGCGACAGGATCTCGGCGAAGGGGAGGCTCGCCGGCGGCGGCTGCCTCGGCCTCCTCCTCGTCCTCCTCCCCTGCAAATTCAAGAGACGGACGGCCCATTCAATCAGGCTCCCGATTCCCTTCCATGGACCGATGAAAGATCGGAGGAGGGGATGTTGAACTTGAGCAGACCTGAGAAGCGAAGGCGGGGAACGGCGGCGTGGGACGGGACGGAGCACCCTCGTCGCGGCGGCCGGTCTCCGGCGGGCGGTGCTGCTCCGTGCGGCCACGCCGGCCTCGTCCTGGCGGCATCGCCTCCTCCTCAGATCGGGGATCGGTGGTACCTCGGGGATGTCGGCTCGACCGTCGCCGGAGCTCTAGGGTTGGGAAGCCGGAAAGGGAAATAGCTAGAGCGGCGGCCGCGTTATCTTGTCTCCTGACTGTTTGCCTCCATCTGGATGGACTTTACCACTTCTTCCACAGACTTTACCACTTCTTCCACAGTCTTGCCGAGAACAACTAGTAAAATAATGGCATGCATAAAAAATAATGGCATGCATATCCATCGAAATATTTCACACATATTTCACTCCACCGCCATCCCATCTGACATCGCCCGCTCGACCCATCTGCTACCCTCTTGTGCCAACCACCCACCAAGTGTCCCCATCAACCACTAAGAGCATCTCCAGCCGTTGAGCCCCCCAGGCGGCATTTTTTTCGCCGCTTGGGGGGCTGTCGGCCAAAACTTTAAGCCTGGGGTAGATATTTATCCACTCGTTGCCCGTTCCACAATCCCACCCCCACTCCACCGCCGCCTCCTCCTCCTGCTCCTCCACGCCATCGACTTCGCCGCCCCGGGCCCGGCCGGCTGCATCCTCCCGGCCGGCCTCGTCCGCTACGTCTCCCGCCTGGGGGGACACGCTCTCGCGCATCTACGGCGGCCTCACCGCCCCGGACTAGATCAGGGACTCCTCGACGCCGGGACCGCGTTGCTCTTGCCGCTGCACTGTGCGTGCTTCGTGCCTCCTTGTCCTCAGCTCGGCCGGCCTCCAGCCGTGCCCATGCGAGGGTTGCGCCCGCGGGTGCGTGGCTCCGGGCCGGGGCCGCTCGTGGCTCCTCCGGGAAGATGCAGGGCGGGGCCGGCGACGAGAGACGGGTGGAGTCCAGGATCGCCGGGCGAGGAGCAGGGGGAGAGAGGAGAGAGAGCAGAGGAGGGAGGAGCAGGGCGGCGTGCATGCGGGAGAAAGAGCAACGATTGTCTTTTTTGCATGCATCAGGTGGGCCTAGCCAAGAAAAGAGGGAGAGAGAGGCTGGCAGTGGCCCTTTGCGGCTAAAACATAGCGCTCGCGCCCCAGCTGCCCCCCAGTTTTCTGGGTATGCCTTGCGTGCGCCGGTCATAACTTTCGTCTGATCCGGTGCAAAATGAGGTTTTGGGATTGCGGCTGGGACGTTTTTTACTCGCCGGTGCTAAAAAAAGGCGCATGGGGGCCGTCTCGGGGGGACGACTGGAGATGCTCTAAGGCACTAGGCCACCATCTTCGATCGTAGTGGCCTATTGTGTCACCTGACGCAGCTTTCCCCTTTTTATTCCTTCCATTGACGACCGATGAGACCACATAGCCCGCGTCAGTGTAGCATCTGCCTGTGACCGCACGTTCCTAGGTGACGGAGTCAAATTCGGCAGATCTCTGGTAGGGGGTTCCGAGCTAATTGTCTTGCCACGATGGTAATGGGGGCACCGTTTTTTATCCATGTTCGGCCCCCCCTAAGAGATAAAACCATATGTCATTTCTTGTGTTTGTATTGATTTCGGATGAAGTACAAAGTACAGGTGATTGATGGAGTAATGGGAATGGGGGTATCCCTATTTTTTGGGTAATGTGGCTCCTTTGGAAAAGACCATATCAGATTAAAACTAGAAGGGAAAATTATTTTCCTTTGATCGTTGTTTTTCACCCGGAGACATACACAGGTGCATGAGTATTATGGCTATAGTTGCCTGAAAGGATCGTTGGATAGCTGACGACACTAGCAGTGACGGAATCGGGAGCTAGAGCCCGAGCATCCGGGTCAAGTGTCGCAATGGCAGGGGGAACCTTGGGAAACACTCCACCAACCGGGCATTAATGTTTGCCCGGGCTATCCCTCGTAGCCCACCACATGCCTATGGAGATAGGCCATCATGACGAAGACCAAGGCAAGCATCCTGAGCCATTTAGGGCAGTGTCTCATCAGTCAGCTGATGTGACCCGACCTTGGCTCGTACTTTGAACCAAAGGAGGATGGTGTGACGCATCACATCAACAAGAAGTATTCGAGCACCTAACACACCCAACGGTGTCAGGTCATCCACTAACAATGATGACAAGTTGCACACAACGCCTATAGCTCTGCATACTCATTCACACATGGTTAGATGACCACTGTGGTACCCCAGGTCTATATAAGGGGAGGACCAAGGTCGCCTAGAGGACAAGGAAAAAACACATAGCCTAACCAACGTCAAGCTCATCAACATACATCTACCAATCCGAAGGATAACACATGGTAGTAGCATTACCCCGAGGAAGGCGAGAAGAGTAGAGTTAGGAGTTCTCGGGCACTCTAGCTAGGACCCCGACCATCACTCGTCATACCCCAACCACCATATTACAACACCACAAGCACTTGTACTCCTCCATTCCATATCAATACCAACAAGAAGTAGGATTTTACGCTGACATGGCGATTTGAACCTATATAAAATCCATGTGTCTTTGTATGTTCTCTCGCTCATGGTTTGACAAAGTGTTTTAGCCCTTGGCTGAAAAAGGGCTGAACTCACAAATACGTGGTATCCTTGATCCCTGGTGTCCTGAGTACACACTTTACTGGCGCGCTAGTTAAGGGGCTAAGGCTTTTCGACCCACATAAGCATCCGCTTGGAGATAGTTTGCCAAGGCCAGCTGGTACTAACAGCTGCGTGAACTTGGCCTTCTCCCCCGAGAGATGGGCGGCCAGGTGGAAGACGGAACCAGTGAAGGGCTTGTGGGGATGAGGACCCATAGGCATACGGTGGATCATCCATAGGGCGAAAGCATGACTCTAGCATCCGCCCTGACAGCTAGTGTCGTTAGCTTTCTATGAAGCTTCAGTTCGTCGAAATCAGAGTTCGTTTGCAAATGTAATGACTGTTTTGGTCTTACCTGTTTACCCGGCCAGGCGGTTGTACTGTGTACTTTGGCAGTTGTCCCGCTCCCTCACTGAGCGGTACTATTGGACCAAGTATCAGTTCAACTACCATCCGAGGGGTGATTTCCCTCGGTTTGGCAGCGGTTGATCTGGCTGACCATTTCTTTTGTGTTACCTAATCATAAACAGTTCATCCTAGTGAACCATATGCTGTGTATCGCACACGCCTTCATCTGGCTGCCCATTTCTTTTGTTACTCCTCATCGCAAACAGTTAATTGAACTGAACCTTATGCCCTGCATCGCACACGCAACTAAAATCTGATCCATGTTTGATGCATCCGTCATCGCAAATGTTTTGGACATTTTGACGGTTTTCTGACACCACCGTTTGCGATTATTGCATCGCACATAGTTTCTTGAAGGGTCTCTGATCGTAGTGTCGCGTTAGCAGCATCCTGCACTAGTGATGTTGCAACCAATGCCAAAACATACACACGTACACATCATGATGAAATGAGATGAGATCCGCTCCTATGACCATGTTCCCCGACACCGGCATGTCGGGATTGTTGGTGTCGACGACACGATATTCCTGAACCATGTCAAATGGCCTCCTGAAGATCATGTCGTTCCACCTCGTAAGCCAAGCAGCGCCATGAGCAATGTCTGGCGCGGCGTGGCATGGTGAAGGTCAACGAGAAGGATGGGGCGGTGACCATGGTCATGGATATCTGAAACTTCTGCAATACGCAGGCCTATGTGTCTACGTCCAGACCAGGGAGATGCCGAGTGCTTAATCATATATACATTCCCAACCGAGCATTTTGATACGACTTGGAATCCTAACACTTATCATTTGAATATCAGCTTATCATGCTATGCTCACATGGAAATCAGTAGTGTGAAAAAGAAAAAGGAAGAAAAAATATCGTTTTTTCAAGAATCAAAAAAGAAATGACTTAACGAGTCACTCTAGTCTGAGCTTAGCCCAGCCCAGCCCATTTATATACTTCTGAGAAGCCACACGAGTCTTCTTCCTCTCTGTCTTGCACCATTGATCACAGATGGAGGCCCTAGTGCAACGGCCCCACTCGGACGACCGTTGAGCCGTTTGGTCAAGGCTTCATCAATAGTTACATCTATTCCTATTCGGCACGTAGGTCATTGTCTAACGACCTAGCGCATACCCTCCAGCACGCATGTCCACAGTATGGGCCGAGTCAGTCTAGTTTTTTCCCGCCCGGTTTTGGATGGTTCTAGAACCCTCATGAACCGGGTTTTTTCTCTTTTTTCTTTGTTTTTTATTCTAATTTTCATCCTTTTATCTTTCTCTTTTTTTTTACTTTTCCCTTCTTTTAATTTTATTTCAATTTCATATATTTTTATTTTTTTAAAGTACTTTTATTATTTCAATTTATTTTCCTTTTCGCTTTATCTTTAATTTTCCCTTTTTATTTTTATTTTTTGTAAACATTGTCTTCCAATTCAAATTTTTTTTTGAGATAGTGAACATCTTTTAAAATATGAACATTTTATATCAAACCGTGAACATTTTCTAATTTGTGAAATTCTTTTAAATTATTGCTAACATTGTTTTTGAAACTTATGAACATTGTAATTAATAAATGAACTTTTTTTGAGTCAATGGTCGTTTTCTAATGGATGAACATTTTCCAACTTGTGGACTTTTTTTGAATCGGTAAACATTTTCGGAATCAATGAATATTATATCAATTAATGGTTTTTTAAAAAACATATCATGAACATTTTCTGGTTTGACGACACATTTTTTAAATGCATGATTTTTTATTTCATGATCATTTTTTTTGTTAACATCTTTAAAAAATCATGAACATGTTTTGAATTCTACATTTTTTGTTCAAATTCACGAATATTTTTCAATATGAGTCACATTGTTTAAAATGATGCACATTTTTTTAATACATGAACATTTTATTATTTAAGAATTTTTTTCTAAAATTCAAATTTTGTTTTGAAATTTTGATTTTTTGGAAATCTTAAACTAGGTTAAAGAAGAAAAAATAACCAATAAACCAAATAAACCAAATAAAAACACGCAACGTTCCACCCCACTCATGGGCCAGCCCAATAGGGCGCGCGGTTGGAAGCACTCAACGGCCAGAATTATTGCCCATACAATCACTCATTCCTTCTCTCTTGGAATTGCTAACACTAAATATAAAACCTACCCATGCACCAAGATCCACATGCCCCTTAGACGCAAGACCCACAAGCGTGAGTCGCCTGCCTAGCAAATTTTTACTCGACCATGGGAAGCCGCGGAACCAACGGGCATAGTACTGATGTAAATAACTGTTAAATTATTTTTGCACGAAGAAATACATTATATCACAATTTTTTAAATGATTTTTTACACATTTTAAGATTATTTGACTTAGTGCATTATAAGTTACAAAATTCTCGGTGTCTGTGCCTAGATGAAATAACAGTTGTTTTAGCTGAGCCTGTGCAAAGGGTAGTTCAGGATTTAATGAAATAAAGACAACCCAATGAACCACATACGCACCCATCAAGATTTCTGTTGCCCTGGATGATATCGAAAAGGTCTGGGCCAAAACTATGAAATTTTGGAAAAAAAAAATCTAATTTTATGCACAAATCGCTTAGACACCTCTAACTCTCAAATTTTTTCAATGTTTTTTTTCATTTGGTGACTAAAATACAACTCAAAAATAAAAATTTATAAATAGTTGGATGGTTAATAAGAGATTTCGGGTCCGTTAGTCAAATGCACCAACTTTGTCTTAATTGATAAATTGTTTAATTTTTCAGATATCGCGTGCATATAATCAGTTCGGCAATTTTTAACATTTAATTCAATTTCTCAGTGCATTATAAGTTAAAATTGGCTAATTAGAATTGACGTAGAGCCAACGTTGTTCAACCAAAAATGGACCTATAAGTGGAAATTAAATGTATATATTAAATTTTTAACATATTTATAACTCATTTTTATTAAAGCACAATATTATATAGTGTAGTTAGTTAGACAATGAACCAAATGACGATAATGTAAAATTTTGATAATAATATTTTTTATGATACATTTGTATTATCTTGTTTTTGAAAAACACATTCATAATGTCAAATTTCTCCTATTATTCATGAAAAATATATTCGTTTCTTTGGTACAATGCACATTAAAATAGACATTTAAACCCAACCCGTGCAAATGTGACAAAATAAGAAAGCACAAATGACATGCTATTTCGAAATAATCTGTGTCTATATATGTTTGTCTGTATCTTTAAATATCCTGGTAGGGATATTTAATGCGCCCAGTTCTAAAAAATTCATATTGTGGTTTCTAGATTATCATCAAGTATACGTAAATAGGAAACTCTAGAGCATACTAAAAGTTTACAAAGAGCTTTGGTGTGACTCATTAGCTCTTTAACATGTTTTTATCCATTTTCCCTTAGGGTCAAGTATGTTTGACATATATTAGCGAGTCTAATAATCCAGTTATGGCCAGTGTATATTTTCATATATATTTCTCGCATGATTACGATTTAAAAACGATTAATCCTATATATGGTTATTTCAGTTGTGGCTCAATATCGGTTGACTATTTTGCTTTCAAAAATCAGGAAGAAGGAAAAAAATCAAAATGAGAAGAGAAAGAAAACAAGTCTTTTGAGCCCGATTAAAGCCCAGCCCATTGCCACAGAGACTGGACCAGAGAATAGAAAGAAAACAAATCTGCACGAGCCTCCTCCGCCTCGCCATCGCTCCCCATTCCACCGCCGCCGCCGTCGCCGTCGCCGCACCGCCGCCTGCGCCATGCTCCGCCTCCGGAGCTGCGTCCTCTCCCACCTCCTCTCCTCTCCCGCCACCTCCCCACTCCCCTCTCTCCACCGCCTCCTCTCCGCCGCCGCCGCGCCCGCCGTCTCCCCCAACTCCGGCTTCGAAGTGGAGGAGTACCTTGTCTCCACCTGCGGGTTGACCCGAGCGCAGGCGCTCAAGGCCTCCGCCAAGCTCTCCCACCTCAAGTCGCCCGCCAAGCCCGACACCGTGCTCGCCTTCCTCGCCGGCCTCGGCCTCTCCGTCGCCGACGTGGCCGCCCTCGTCGCCAGGGACCCGCTCTTCCTCTGCGCCGGCGTGGAGGGGAACCTGGGCCCCGCCGTCGCCGGGCTCACCGGCCTCGGCCTCTCGCGCCCTGAGGTCGGGCGCCTCGTCTCGCTCTCCCCGGACCGATTCCGCCGCAAGAACGTCGTGCCCAAGGTGCGCTACTACCTGCCTCTCTTCGGCTCCTCCGAGGACCTCCTCTCCGGGGTCAAGCGCGGCTTGTTCCTTCTCTCCGTCGACGTCGACCGGGTGGTCAAGCCCAACGTCGCGGCCCTGCGGGAGTGCGGGCTATCTGTTCGCGACATTGCCAAGGTGCTCATCCAAATGCCGAGGATCATCACCGCCAGGCCGGAGCGCACCCTTGCAATGGTCGCGTGCGCCGAGCGTATTGGTGTGCCCCGTGGCTCTGGGATGTTTAGGCAAGCGCTGCAGGCTGTCGCATGCTTCAGCGAGGAGAAGATTGCCGCCAAAGTGGAACAGTTGAAGAAGACATTGCGGTGGTCCGATGCCGATGTCGGCATTGCTCTGTGCAAGTGGCCGACTGTGCTGAGGTGGTCGAATGACATGCTGCAGCGCAAGTCTGAGTTCCTCATCTCTAAGGTGGGCTTGAAACCGGCATACATTGCCCACCGTCCGGCAATACTCGGTCTTAGCTTGGAGCGCCGTCTCAAGCCCCGGTACTATGTTATGAGGTTTCTTAAGGAAAATGGATTGCTGAGTCATGCCAGAGACTACAATTCTATGCTCTTGGTCAGCGAGAAGGTATTTGTGGAGAGTTTCATACGCCCCCACAAGCAAGCTGCGCCACACATTGCTGAAGACTATGCAGCCGCTTGCACAGGGGAGGTGCCTGCTAGATTCAGATTTACATGAACCAAGGACAGTCTATGAAAGTTGGTAGCTGCGTGTGCAACAACAGAATTTCCACTCGTCGTATTAAGCTGGTAATTCATGGTTAGGTGTTCTTTTCATGACTGAATTTTGGTTTTGTTGTGGCCAATGCTTGACATTACTGATAACTTGATTTCTGAACCCCAATATGGTGATTTCGTCATTTGGTGGAGAAGAAAGCTTGATGTGTGATATATTTTCATGTCAAGTTTATCTAGCATGTTCAGTTGTCATTTCATTGTCTTTTTTGCTCTGTCATATGTCAGTTAGTTACTACTGAAATTGCTGTTCATTGTATAGTATTTTGATTATGCTTGGAAAATATATTTCTATTGGGTGTACGTTTACTTTACATCTTTGATTTCTTGGCCCTTATTCTTCGAGGCTGATTAGTTTTGTTACTAGATCTTGTAGTTGACCTTGCTAAGAAAAATTTCAAATTTGAAAACGTAACCAATGTGGGAGTGGGCCTAAGCATGATCAGCAAATGAAGTTGTCTTATCAGTTCTCTCTCTCATTAATGTCAGAACTTAATCAACAAGGATGGTATGTAATAGTAAAAAGAAAAACAGGGATGGTATGTCGTCTTATCATATCTCTCTGCTATTGACTGCATGCATATGATACTTTATCTATTCACAAAATTACATGCATATTATGGCAGCAAGTCTGTCAATAATGGTATGTAATAGTACTGAAATTGCAGTTCATCATTCAGTGTTTTGATTATGCTTAGAAAATATATTTCTATTCGATGTATGTTTATTTTATGCCACCATCAGCAGGGTGGAACCGGCATACACAGCTCATCAGCGGGTAATGTACCATTAGAGCCTAGAGGGCCCACTCAGATGCTGATTCTGTGTTGTAAATTTCTTAAGGCAAATGGATCGCTAGGTCACGGCTGAGCTACTATAACAGAATAATAGTGAGGGAGAAAGTATTTGTTGATAGCCTTACAAGAAGGCCGCCTCACCCTGCTGAATACTATGCTGCCGCTTGCAGAAGGCAATTGTGCACTAGATTCAGATTTGCCTGATAAAAGGAACAGTATATTAAATTTCAAAAGTAATCAGTGAGTTATTTTTCTCCCGACTAAAAGTTTGATTTCTTAACATGGTGGCATACTGTTGGAATATTGGTATTCATTGTAGAAAGTAAGGGATGTTGATATCTTGGTTATTACTTCCATAGCTTGACCTGCCTTTGTGTTTGAGCCCTCCAACACAAACGGAAGCTGTCGAATGAATTAGAGCAGTTCTCAACTAGCGATTCATCTGTTGTCCTGTCAAAAAATCAAGTTAACAAGTGAATATATTGTGCATAATTTATACTTGTTGTCTTAATAGGTTGCCATCAAAGATCAGACCATAGTGGTGAGAATAACTGGCCTCCCTATTAGATGTGGCAGAAGACTATGAGTAGCGAGTTGAAATATTCTGCACATCATTTATACTCCCATTTTGTTTATTTACCCCATTGGGTTTGGTTGGTGTGCTTTATGCTTTTATTTGGATTGTGTATCTACTGCAATATTTTAAATAGCGCGCTATTTCGCCGTTATAACGCGGTTATAGCATATTTGGAAGGGAGATGTTATGTTTTGGTAAAATCGGACGCTACGGTGCTAATCGCGTAATTAGCGCGATACACACGCTATAACGTTGTAACGTTGTAACGTTGTAACGCTATAACGTTGTAACGTTGTAACGTTCTAGCGCGCTATTTAAAATATTGATCTACTGTATGTTAGGCGGCGTTGTGGTGTCGACTATGGAGAGTGACAAAATGCTTTACTACTGAGGATTGTTTCCGACTTAAATGTTTGTAATTGGTGTCTGCTTCAGTAGTACAGTAGAACCCTGTAGTTGATATGTTGAATTGTAGACATATGTACTAGTTTGATCATATGGTGATCACAGTAATGCACATGCATTATGCTATTATTATAATCGATCCCGCCCAAACAAAATGTTGTCTGTAGAGAATTTGGTGGTTGTTCTAAGTAATCTCAGTTAGATAATGATATTCTTAAATTTTTTAACTCATTCTTAGATTTTCTTTGTCAGATAGCAGTGTTAGCAGAGCCTGCTGATAGTTGACCGGCGACAATTCATTGAAGGTCAGGGCTTCAACTCAGTTATTATAGATTTATAGTACGACCTTGTCATGGTATGATGTGTGCTTCTTTGATAGCTTGTGGTTTCCTCTTAGTTAGATACAATTTTGTCGATAAAGCCTATTTTCCTGAGCCTAATCCTGACTGTGAAGCGGAGCATGTCTTGTTGTAGTTTGGATTTGCCTCACACTCACAGTATTTGAGATGTGTCTTTTTTCTGAAGTTTTACAAATGTAGGCTGTTCCTCTTGTCTGCCGAGCGGCGACACGGAGCGGATTGTGATCTCTTAATGAAATCTGCAATGGGCAGCTGTTATGTCCTTCCTGTTTTGTTCCTGGCTTTCTCTACCTAGCTTGGTCCGTGGTGCCTGGACGATGCCATGTACTGATCGCCTATGCAGCACGTCGGTCGCCTTGATGAAATGCATCGTGAGGCGGACGTCGGTCGCCTTGATGAAATGCATCGTGAGGCGGACGTCGGTCGCCTATGCAGCACGTCAGAGTCGCCGGTGGTTGCTCCCGGGGTGGTTTGGTCGTCAGCTCTCTTGGCGACCGCGGTGGCCGCCGGCGGCCACTCATGGCACATTCGGCCTTAGCTCCTTGTTCTCTCTCGTGTAGTGTCGCGTCCTTCATTGAAGACGGAAGTACATTTCTTTTTCCTTTTTGTCATTCTTGTGCTGCCTATGGCCTGTTTTGTAGTAGTAGTAAATGAATATTCCAACTTGAAAGATATTGTTTTTTGTCATGAAAAATATATATTATTTTTCTTAATTTCAGAAAATATAACCAGTCATACCCTGTGTGCATGTCAGTATTGTGCCGAGTCTCACGCGTACGCTCTTTTGTTCTTCGTGTCGTCCTGTTTTCCATAAAATGCAAAAGCAATTAAGATTGAAAGCGCGCGCGTGTGGATTCATTCCTCGGCTCATCCGTTGCCACTGCACCAAAGCATAATTTACGTCACTTAGAACGCATAGATAGACCTATTTAAACTTTCATCAGCCGTTCCATTTTTCTGCGTATATTTTTCTTCCGGACTTCTTTTATCTTTTTTTTTCAGATATAGTGGATATTCTTTGGGCCGTACGCAGTGTGTGTATCGTATATTGAAAAAAATTATATGTACATATACATCTTTTATTAAAAAAAAGTTTGCTGTATGTAAGATGAACGTTTTTATAATATGAAAGAGTTCATCGTATATTTTAAAATGTTCATCTTATATTCAAATAAGATAATTGTATATTGAAAAATGTTCAATATATATATATATATATATATATATATATATATATGATGCGATGAACATTTGTTTCATATATGATACACTTTTATACAAATATTTTTTCAATATCGTAAACATTTTTATAGTATCTTATAACATTTAATTCAATTTTTTTAATATACGAACATGTTTTATTTTAGGGAAAAGAACGGGCCAAAGTATAGAAGAGCGTACGCGTGCTCATTGGTGGATTAGGGCAGCAGCCGCTGGCCTGCGTGCGCCTCGACGCGGGTTCGAAACTCGCCAGCGCCAACGCCTAAGGGTCTTTTTTGTAAAAAAAAAACATGCCATGTCAGTAGCTGACAGAGGGCCCCGCCTGTCGGATACAACATCAATATAGCATTATACAGCGCTTTGACCGTTTTGCAACGATTAGCCTCAGAGGTGGTACTGACTTGCAAAAAAAAATGAATAGTGGTACTTATTCGTTACAAACGTGTCGGAGTGTGGTATTTCCATGCAATTAAGGGTGTGTTCGGCAGTCCACCAGCTCCTGGCTCCTCCAACTCCACGGGCCGAGCTGAGCCGAACGCGCTAACTTCTGGAGTTGAAAACGAGAAGCCAGCGATTTGTGTGCTATGCTATATATATCGTCTATGTGTTACAATTTGGTACGTTGTGTTCGTCTATGTTGCATTGGATTGCATGGATTTTAGGGTTTGGATATGAGCAGGGCGGCTGTGGACGTGGGCAAATGAGGGGTGGACGGGCGATCGATGTCCGGTCCTTGCTGTGAGGAAGAAATCGGAGGGATCATAGTGAGGTTGGTCATTCGTTTGTCTTTGTAACTGGGAGGTCTGGCTGGCAGAATTTTTGCGGCCATGGGTTTGCTTTGTGTGTTAACGTGTACATGTGGTAGTCCTGTTTATTGTTTTTTTGGGGGAAATTATGCCGCTTTATTTAAACGAAACTAGGGATATCGTCTGCAATTACATCCAAAATAAAGTCTGGTGGTGAATCCACCCAAATCTCTGAATGATTATCTCCTACACCTACTCTAGCAAGCTTGTGAGCGGCTACATTCTCAGAACGTCGAACCCACGTCACCTTCGAGTCCTCCAGCGTGTTGAGCATCCTCTTTATATCCTGCACCCAAGGTCCTACAGCGGACAGATTCCTTTCTGGGCTGTTGAGCATCTGTACGACAGCCTGACAGTCCATCTCGACATGAGTGCTGAACATGAAGCTCTATCGCCACCTGAATTGCTCGTTGGCAAGCCAGCACATCTGCCATCTCCGGGTCGACAACATTTGGTAAAAACTGGCAAAGCCCAGCCCTGAAAGCCCCGTTGTGATCCCTGAAGACCGCTCCTGCTCCTCCTTTATCTCCATGTCTCGAGACCGCGCCGTCGGAGTTGATCTTTACCCATCCATCTTCGGGAGGCTCCCAACGCTGGATGATCTTTGGCTCCGATAGTGGCGCCCTCGTCTCGTGAGCTAGTTTCCATTCCATGAGCTGCACCTGAACTGTGCTTACTATTTCATGTGGCTGGGCAATCTTCTTGCCGTCTCTTGCATCATTCCTCGCAAGCCATAGTCCATACGCCGCCTGCAGCAGTGCTTCCTTTTCATCGCCCGA